TGGGATCAAAGGCATGCACCACCAACGTCTGGCTTACATTTAAAAATTTATATGTTTACCTATTTTTTTTTTTTTTTTTTTTTGGTTTTTCGAGACAGGGTTTCTCTGTGTAGCTTTGGAGCCTATCCTGGCACTTGCTCTGGAGACCAGGCTGGCCTCGAACTCATAGAGATCCTCCTGCCTCTGCCTCCCGAGTGCTGGGATTAAAGGCATGCGCCACCTACGCCCAGCATGTTTACTTATTTTTATGTGTATGGGTTGTATATGTGTATATGTAGCGTGTGCCTGGTGCCCAAGGAGGGCAAAAGAAAGTATCATCATATGTGTGCTGGGAACTGAACTCAGGTCCTCTCCAAGAGCAGTCAGTGCTTTTAATGGCAGTGGTTGTTTTCACTTGGATTGATGATGTCATATTTCCACTTTATGATGTGTGCACTCAGAACGTACAAACTTTGCTAAACAGTTACATGTCCCATCCTTTAGGACTTCTGTGATTGAGTACAAAAAGGAAGTTGAGGCTGTCAGAGCCCCTGGAACTACAGTTATGGACGGCTGTGTGAGCCATGGTGTGGGTGCTTACAACCACTGAGCCACCTCTCCAGCCCCTATAGTTACATTTTAAATGCATATAGAATCTCCTACACAGTAGCCTCAATCTTGCCTCTTGGACTATGAAGCATAAAAACTATCTGCTATTTGACCTTTCAGAAAAGTTGCAGACATCTGAACTCATGTTGGCTTGAGGATTAACCCATATTTGTAAGACTTCTGGGAATGAGTTTATGGACTAGAGTTTGCTTTGTATATGCTTGTCAGTAGGATTATAAATCCAAAGATGTCTTGCTAAAGCAATTAAAATTAGGTACTCCTACACTGGGCGGTGGTGCACACCTTTAATCCCAGTACTCGGGAGGCCAAGGCAGGCAAATCTCTGATTTGGAGGCCATCCTGGTCTTCACAGCAAGTTCCAGAACATCGGGGCTACACAAAGAAACCCTGTCAAACAAAACAAACAAAAAAAAAGTTAGGCACTCCTTTTTAATTGCAGGAAGCTTCTATGCCTACAGTGGAAAAGTGAATAATTATTTGTGGAATACAGTTATAGTTTGAAAGGTAGGAAAACTGGAAGTGGAAGAAAATAGGCCAAAGACAGGGAGCCTTGGAAATTTTCTGTTTGTGATGGGGAAGAAATATGTGACTCACCATATAAATGGGCACAGCAATTTGAGACCCCTGTGTCCTCTACTGTGCAAATTAAAGACCACAGTTTTAAAAAAGAAAGTATGAGGCCAGTAGGATGGGCAAGTGGGTAAAAGACACTTGCCACCAAGTCTGCTTTGAGTTTGATCTCTGGGAACCACGTGGTAGAGGGAAAAGCAGCTCCCTCAGGTTGTCTTCTGACTTCCACGCTCACAATGTCAGCACAGAAGCACACACACTTGACACTCACAAAAGAAAAACTTCTTTAAATGTAAAAGAAAAACTGCTAAGGGCCAGGGACATGGTTTAGTTCTTGTTACACAAGTCTGACTGAGTTTGATCCCTGGAACCCATGTAAAGGTGGAAGTGAAGCTGTGTTCTGACCCCCACTTGCACTCTGTGGCTTGTGTTTATCCAGACACACATCATAGGCATACAATACTAGTATTAAGAGTTAAGCATAGTGACAGACTTGGAGAATGGAAGCAGGAGGATCAGGAGTTCAAAGATATCCTTGGCTACACAGTGAATCTAAGACAAGCCTGGGCTACATGAAATCCTATTTCAAAAGACCAAACAAATGGGGCTGGAGAGATGTTCCAGTGGTTAAGAGCACTTGCTATTTTTCCAGAGGACAAAGTTTAGTTCATAGCACCCATACCAGGCAGCTCACAAATGCCCATAACTCCAGCTCCAGGGGATATGACACTCTTTGGCCTACAGGAACCCCACTACACACATACATGAACACAGATATACACATCACAAATAAATCTTAAACAATGAATGCTGGACCTACTGGTACAATGTCAGTTTTGGGTGTCCAAGATGAGAGGATCCAAGTACAAGGCCTGCCTCACTTGAGAATGAGTTCAAGACCAGCTGAAGGCAAGTCATGGTGGTGAATGCCTTTAATCCCAACACTCAGAAGGCTATTTCAGAGGGATCTGAAATAGCCCTGGCTGTACAGATCACTATGTACACCAGGCTGACCTTGAACTCAAAGCCTGCCTCTACCTCCAAATTCTTTGATTAAAGGCACATGCTACCACACCTAGCTGATCTCTGTTTTTAAGGCCAGCTTGTCTCAAAATAAAACAATAATTAAAAAAATAACCAGTCTGGTAAATTTATAGAGACTATATTTGGTGGGAATACTTAACACTGAAGATAATAGACATAGTAAAAAAGACATTCAACGGGGGTGTGGTGGTGCACACCTTTAGTCCCAGTGCTTGAGAGACAAAGTCAGGAGGCTCTGACCACTGCCCAGGGGTCACTTAGCTTTTAATAGCTTTCTTGAACCAGTAAATCATCTCTGACACCCTCTTCCTGTTTGGTGGTATAAACACCAATGGTTGATAGAACCTGTTTGAAGAGATGCTGAAAACACCCTAAAAGTAGAAGCAGACTGTAACTAGGAAGAGTGGGTACCACTGGCATGATGAGGCAGAATCACAGAAGGATACTGACAGCAATAACCTGAGAAATTCCTTTCCAAAATAATAAAGCTCAACTTTATCTTTTGACTCAGAATCCTGTCTTTTTGTTTACTCCATGTTTCACAAAGGAAATTTAATGGCTATATAGTAAAACACATAATGTGGACAATCAATTCTATGTAAAATTTTTAAATAAACCAATAGTTATTATAAAGGTTATAGAGCCAGGGATGCAGCTTGGTTGGATCCAATGCCTCTGGCCTCTACAGGGACCTGCACACACGCATACATACCCACACACAGATACACACATGCATACATAACCACACACAGATACACCCACGTACAAATAATTTTTTAAAATCTTATTAAAAATTTAGCACCAACAAAGAAGCATGAGGCTGAGTATGGTGGCTCACTCCTGGTAAAGCCAGCACTTGAAGGTAAAGCAGGCAGATGCCAGGAGTTCCAGACAGCCTAGAGTACGTAAGTGAGTTCCAGGATAACCTTTGCTACATAGTGAGACCCTGTCTCAAAACACAGACAAAGGGCAGGAAAATAAAGGCTGTTTTTTTGTCTGAAGTTGAGGAGGAATAGAAGACTGCTTGGGGCAGGTAAGGAGGTTCTTTGGTTGTTTGTTTGTTTGTTTGTTTTTGTGAGGGAGGGCAGGATTTAGGATATAATCTAGCCTGGCCTCAAACTCAAGTGCTGTGTAGGAGTGTACTACTGGCCAGCTGGTGTTGAGGGGTTTGAGGTCATCCATTGTTTACTACACAGCTGGTTTGAGGCTACATGAGACCCTGTTTCAACAAACAACAAAATCATGTGCTAGCACATCCAGTTTGGAGGGACAGCCTTTCACCCAGGCGGCCTCAGCTCTCAGCAATCTTCCACCCAAGTGCTAAGATTCCAGGTATGCACCACCATGTCTTGTCCCGTGCACACATTTATGTTCTTCCCTGGTAAGGACCTGTTACAATTAGGGATAGCAAGGGCTGTACGGAAGGGAAGCATACTCTGTTCAATAAAACAGAGTAGGGAGGAGCCACGAGTGGTCAAGAGATTTCTGGACAGCACCAAGAGTGTGGGTGTGGAATGCTGGCTGATGTCCCTGAAGAGGAAGTGCCCACCAGGACCACAGAGGTTCTCCCCCAAGGAAGGGGCAGGGGGAGCACTATCTAGGGGATGAGCTGTAGGTCTAGCTTGAACAATCTCCAATCTTCTTCATTCCTAGACTCCACAGAATGGGAGGCATTTATTCTTAGGCCATCTTCTTAGGCCAAGGGTTCAAAGAACAGGCAGGGTAGGAAATGAAGAAGTTGAATGGAGACAACTAGAGCAAGGGACCCATCCCTCCTAATTTCATATTTTTTTTCTTTTAATAGTCACCAAGTGCAGGCCCAGTGTAGTGGTGCACACCTTTGATTCCAGTATTTGGGAGGGAGAGGCAGGTGGATCTCTGAGTTCAAGGCCAGCCTGGACTACTGTGTGAGTTCCAGGATAGCCAAGACTACACAGAGAAACCCTGTTTCAAAAAACCACACACACACAAAATCACACAGTCCAATTTGGCTTCCCATATTCCCTGAAGCAGTGGTTCTCAGTCTGTGGGTTGATCCCCCTTTGGAAGTCACATATTAGATATCCTGCATATCAGATATTTACATTCTGATTCATAAAAGTAGAATTAGTTATGGAGTCACAATGAAATAAATTTATGCTTGGGGTCACCACAGCATGAGGAATTGTATTAAAGGGTCACAGCATTAAGAAAAGGGGAGAATCACTGTTCTAGAGCATTGGTCCACCTATGGAGGCCACACCTCTAAAGAAAACAGACTCTTGGTCAAGTCTGTGTGTGTGTGTGTGTGTGTGTGTGTGTGTGTGTGAGAGTGTGTGTGAGTGTGTGTGTGTGTGTGTGTGGGTGGGGGGGCGCGCGCGCGCGCGCACACATGTGCATCCCCCTCCCCCACCCAAAGCTATCAACTGTCAGTACCTCCTCAGTTACTGCACTAGTGGGGCTGTGAGTCCTTCTCAGCTCCACACTGTAAGGCTGGATCATGCTTGTGCAGGTCTTAAAAAGATGTATTATCTATCATATGTCACTGAATAACTGCATTAGTGGGGCTGTGAGTCCTTCTCAGCTCTACACTGTAAGGCTGGATCATGCTTGTGCAGGTCTTAAAAAGATGTATTATCTATCATATGTCACTGAGTCCATATGTGTGTGGGTGCTCAAGTTCCTCTAACTGCAGTTCAGAAGACTTCCTCCACAGGCATGTGTAACACACACACACACACACACACACACACACACACACACACACACACACACGTAAAAATAAGTCTTAAAATCTCTCAAATGTTGTTAATATACTTTTAAATTACAATTGTAATAGCAAACTGTTCAAAGATATTCTATGATTATATCATCACAAAAAATGACAAGGACAAAGAAAGTGGCAAGAAGTTAAATTAAGTATGTATAGCTTACAGACTTGTTTCTTTTCTCTTCTTTTTTATTTTTATGTAGAGACAGGGTCTTACTCAGGTAGTGGGATGGCCTGAGTGGAATTTCAGCTATATGCTATTATTATTCCTGGATCAGACATCAGACATTTCAGACTCAACAGTACTGCTGCACATGCACAGGAACATGAAAGGCTGGCACCAACCTGACACCAACTGGAAGCAAAATCTTAATATTCCTGTGATCCTGAAGGTCTTGCCTAAGTTTCTGAAGTTTTTGTTTTTCTTTTAGCCACTAGATTTTTCAGGAAAAATTCACCTATTTGGAAAAAAATAAGACTACATTACTATCACCCTGAAGTAAGCGGAAACAAACCAGTATTTCAGAATCCCTCCCCGCCACAAACACACACAAAGGGTTCTATCACTGGCATTTCCCTGCTCTCAAATCTCAAAGGCAGTATTTTTACCACCTAAATATTCCATACCTTTTGATTTTCCCCTGTTTTAATTATTTTATTATATCTTTTGACATTATCATACTTTACCACATCTCTCCTTCCCTTTCCTCTCTCCATGACAGCACAGGCCCACTCAGGGACTGAAAAGGATTGCTCTCAACTATTACTCCTTCTAACCCCCAGTGGCATGCAACACAGCCCCTGGGCCTGCTTCTGCATGCTCACCCCACTGTGAGCGCTGACTACTCCTCACTGCTACAAAGTGCCTCCGATGGATGGCACCAGTCACTTCAGAGAGCAGCCTGTTCATCATTAGCCTGGATGTTTATAAAGCAGATCTCATGCAGCTGAGCACTCATCTGACAGAATCTCTCACTCACTCGTTCCCCTCCGGGAAAGCCAGAGCAGGCCTGTGATGAGTTGAGCCTGAGCTACACATTCCCTTTCAGTCCACTAGGCTCCATTTAGTCGCTAAGTGCTTCCTGCTGTGGGGAAGCACTAGAGACTTGAGCTTATGAGGAGTCAGCAGCTCCTCTGTCATCTTACAGGTTCACTCAGAACACAACCCCCACATCCAAACCAAACGACCTGATCCCAAGCTTCTTGTCTGTACTACTCAGTCCTTCACCTTAATCTGGTAGACATAGAACCAACATCACCAGACTGAAATCTGTGACTGGAGTCCAATGCTCAACACACAGGGTTCAATCTTTTAGTAATGATTTTAAAAATACTAAAAGATTCATAATTCACTTTCTTACAAATATTAGAAGATTTCCTTTTAAGTATTACTTAATGCTGGACATGGTTGTTCACACCTTCAGTCCCAGCACTTGAAGGCACAGGCAGGCCTGATCCTAATGGTGAGTTCCAGGTCAGCAAGGAATATATAGTGAGACCCTGTCTCAAAAATTAAAAAGTAAATAATAAAAAATAAAATCATGCTGGGCGTTGGTGGCGCATGCCTTTAATCCCAGCACTCGGGAGGTAGAGGCAGGTGGATCTCTGTGAGTTCGAGGCCAGCCTGGTCTCCAAAGGGAGTGCCAGGATAGACTCCAAAGCTACACAGAGAAACCCTGTCCCGAAAAACGAAATAAATAAATAAATAAATAAATAAAACCACATGCTCTACACACACACACACAAGATAGAAGCAAAATAAATATTACTCTAAGTACCCGCTTCTAAAAACTAATACTGGTTCTAGCTTCTGAATATATTTCAACTAGTCCTGCTTAGTTCTCACATATATATATATATATTTCCTTCACTGCTGAACCAGATTCTTAGGCTTTTTAACAATTCTTTGAGAATCTCATACATGAATACAATGTATTTTGATCATATTCCCCTCCACTTTGCTCCCTAACTCCTCCCAATGCCCCCTAACTTCATGTTTTGTTTTATTATTACTTTTTTAAAAAAATATTAAAAGCCAATAGAAAGTATCTTTATTAGCCAGCTGGAGACTACACTAGGAGTTCAAGATTCCAGTGTAGCACCGAGCCTTTCTCAGGGTGGGCTTTTAAGCATAAAAACCATGTTCTGGTTGACATATTCCAGTTAACAAGAACAGTTAGCCAGAAACAGAACTACAGAAGTCAAAAAAGCAAGGTTACTACATTTAAAGACTTTCCCAGAACTGTGGGTTTTGATGGATTAGGTCTTTGTTTTCATTTAGGCAGTTGGTACTGTCTACATGCTGAGTTGTATGGACTGGATGGGTATTTCCATCATGGAGTCAGTTGTGCTAAAGTCTGGTGCCATTTCCAGTGTTCATTGCCATAGGAAGTACAGACAAGAGCTCAAACAAGGTAGGATCCTGGAGCAGAACCTGATGCAGAGACCATGAAAGGGTGCTGCTTCCTGGCTTGCTCTTATTATTACTTTTTTAAAAAATTAGAACCTAGAGTTCAAATTCTTGACTTTTATAAGTAGGATAAACTGTTCATGAAAATATCTTTTCTTTTCCTTTGGTTTTTTTAAAACCTGAGTCTCATAGAGCCCAAGCTGAACTCAAAAATACCATACAGCTGAGGGTGACCAGATACCCCACCTCCCAAGTGCTGTAACTACAAGCGTGCACCACTGTGCCCAGCTCACTTGAATTCCATTATAGGAATTCTGAGGGTCGATAAAATGTAAATATTCATTTTCCCAAACAGAATTCTGTCTAACTTAAATATATCCATGATTTATTTTATATATATATCCAGGATTTATATCCAGCATATACAGCAATCACTTAAATGAGCATTAATAGTATCACTATGTTATATACATATCCCAAAACACCTAGCTTACCGATCCCAATTGCTGACCTCAACAACCAGGGAAACATCTTCCTCCTCCATCTCCTTTCTTAGCCTCCTAAACTCTAGCATTGCAGGAGTGTACCACCAAGCCTGGCACAAATGACTTCTTTCTTCTTGTGCTGCTGAGAGCTCAACCTAGGACCTCAAGCAGGCTGGGCAAGAGCTCTGCCACTGAGTTACATTCCTAGCCCTAAATGACTTTTTAATCCCTTGGAAAATGCTTTTATTTTCATAATCAGTTCAGTCAATGGACCAAAGCAAGAGCTAAATACTAAAAGTGAAAAATTATACTAAATTAGTAAAACCACTAAAATTTGTTTAGGGAAAAAATGACTCTACAGTTTTTTTTTCCTCCTTTATATGAGGGGGGGATACATAGAGATAGCTGTGCAAGAAGCAATGCTATAGGGTTCCACTGCTTACATTGATCTGGAATTGGCAGTGTGGAGATGCAGCTGGCACCATTGTCAAACGAATATACATTTTCCAGAAAACCACGTCACATGCTCTACACATTCTTGTTTCTGGAAGATATGCTACTAAAAGCAACCCATAGAATAACTGACTAGGCAAAGTATTTCTGGTCTTGTCAAATGGCTGCAGTATCAAGAGCAGCAAGCAATGTGCACAAAAACAAATGAGACTCAAGAACAGCTTTATATGACGCATAGAGCAAAGCTGTGAAAGAAAGACATTCTAGGAAAAGAGAATCTCTTTTGATTCCTCTGACAAATGACAACCACAGCTATTGTAATTTGCTTTAGAGCTTTGGTGGTTTGAGGTAGGTTACAGCTGTGGGAAATTAATGGCCTAAAAAGAACCCTCCCACCTCCCACCCCCAACAGTTGAACTTACCTGCCTTATATGAAGAACGCACCAAAGGGCCACTTGCAGTATAATGAAATCCAAGCTCATTTCCTACTTTTTCCCAGTATTTGAACTTCTCAGGAGTAACATATTCTTCAACCTTGATGTAAATAATCTCTTCAGACCAGATTCCAGAATCCTAAGTAATTCTGATTCTATATAAAGTCTATACTCATGTTTTCAGAATGGCTCATCATTTATCCAGCCCCCCACCCTATCCAGCCCCAATCATTTATATGTTGTTGGACTCTATCAGGGCATAACTACAGAGGACTTAGAGGAGGGACATCACTCTGTACTGCATTAGCTGTTCCAAGGGGGACAGAAAATGAGAGTAGAGAGTATTTGTTTTCCTTTCATTGCTTCAGTAGAAGCAAGAATTGGTCATGCCTGTAAAATTCTGTGTGTGTGCATGCACATTTTGTAGGTACTCATGTGTACAGTCCAGAGACAACCTTGGAAGTATTTCTCAGGCATTTTCCACCTTCTTTTGCTACAGGACCTCTCAGTGACCTGGAACTCTTAGGTAGCTCAGGCTGGCTGGCCATGGAGCCCCAGGAATCTACCTGTTTTTGTCTCCCCTGTTCTGGGATTATAAGCACATTCCACTATGTCTGGTTAAGAAAAGGTGGGTTCTGGGACTTGAATTCAGTATGCAAGCACTTTAATGTCACTCCAAGTCCACTTGAGGGATGCCTGAGGGACAAGACTAATACATCTTATATCTCATGTTTAGCACTGCACCTGGCACATGTTTTGTTTTTGTTTGTCTGTCTGTCGTTTTGGTTGGCAGAACCTAGGACCTCACACATGCTAGGCAAGTGCTCTACCAGTAAGCAACAAGCCACATGATATTACTCAGCACATTTTCTCAAGAAAATAAACCATTCCATCATAGAAACAGAAATCTGCCTTCCTTTGCTTACTTTAGCTTTGTGTCAGTATATACAATTGTATATACAGTATATATAGATTGTATCAGTAATACAATCTTCCAACCTTTAAGTTTTTCTGTGTGTTCATTCAACTTGACCACTTGGGTAGCAGTAAGTACCAGGGTCACTGCTTTATGTGGGCAAGAAGACAGAAATGTATGTGTACACATGGGACATTATACTAAAAAGCTAACTGTTTCTTAATTTTACTAGTGGACAATGAAGATTTACCTCAAATTACTAAGAAAATACTTGGCAACTCAAGATACTTGTACCTTAAGGTGGCGTTTTGTTGGCTGCATATATTGTCCTAGAGTTAAACAGTCCACATCAGCTGCACGGAGCGCTGCAAGGGAAAGAAGCAAGGATTCCATTAGCAGATGTTTCGGTGACAATTATAGATCTAAGTACAGGTCCTGTGAGAAGTACTTCCATACTGTGTGCTGTAACTGTCATCACAGGCAGCAGAGACTCAAGAAAACCCATTCATTCATTCAAAAACATTATGAGCCACAGACTCTGATGAGAACTGGAAACAGGAATAAACAATTACCACAGTAGTGTGAACTGGGAGATAGAAAGAAAAATACAAGGCTGGATGTGGAGGTGCAGGCCTTCAGTCTCAGCACTCGGGAGGCATAGACAGGCAGATGGGTCTCTAAGATGGATGCCAACCTGGTCTACAGAGCAAGTTTCAAGACAGCTAGAGCTACACACACACACACACACACACACACACACACACACACGAAAACAGAAAGTCAAATACACTTAATGGCATCAAATAAAGGCTAAAATAGGAGAGGGCTTTAGAGCAGGAAGCCTGTTAGGCATAAAAGGTGAAGGGATCAGTGTGTCTCTCTCTATTTTTATTTTTTATTTTTTTAGGTTTTTAGAGACAGGGTTTCTCTGTGTAGCTTTGGAGCCTATTCTGGCACTTGCTCTGGAGACCAGGCTGGCCTCGAACTCATAGAGATCTGCCTGCCTCTGCCTCCTGAGTGCTGGAATTAAAGGCGTGCATCACCAATGCCTGGCTCAGTGTGTCTCTATTAATCTCCATGCTTAAGTCTACATTAAAATCTTTTTTTTTTTTTCCTTTTGGTGGCTGAGGAGATAACCATGGGTGCTGGAACTGAACTCTTATCTCTTTGGTTGTGAGTACGACCTTTAACGGCTGAGCCATTTCTCTAGCCCTAAAACCTTTTCTTAATAAACTCCAACTCTGCCAAAAAAAAAAAAAAAAAAAAAAAAAAAAAAAAAAAAAAAAAGTGAAGGAACAACTATCCTAAGGTAAATACATTCATACAAGCCAAACACGCTGTCCTGGGCTTTTCCTTGGGGAGCAGGGTGTGTCCTCAGAGTGTGACTTGGCCTGTGACATATCAGTCTTTCTTTTTCAGTTGTATTTGGTAGGCAAGCACTCTACTACTAAGCTAAAGCCACAGCCTTCAGAATCTTATCCACTGCAGCCTGGTACCTAACTGACTCTCAAAATCATCCAATGACAGACGGAAATCCCTTTCTCATTGGAATGGGGAGGACAAGGAGGGCTAAAAACCCGTCTCCAGCATCTCACACACCATTCCATGACGACCAAAGAAAGCATCCTTCCCTTCGCATGTTGCCGCTATTTGCAACATGTCCATTCTTTTGGCTCTGGACATGGAAGCTGGAACTTCCCACTGGCCTATACTTGCAGCTCCAGGTACTTTGTTCTCACTATCATCTGCATTTAAAATTATGGAGGAAGCATAAATTTAACAGGCTCTGAAGGTAAATGGAAAGGGGTTTCTGGTTTTCAGCTTCTTTACCTTTCATTGTTGCGTGGACTTGCTCATCTGTTTCACCTAGGCCCAGCATTATTGATGTTTTGGTAACAATATCAGGCTGAACTTTCTTGACATGTTTCAATACACAAAGAGACTGGTCAAAGTTGGCCCGGGGATCACGAACTTTCCTGGAAAACAGGGTGGCTCTCAGTGAAGAAACAAGCTCAACCAGAAAGCACATTCTTGAATAATGTTTTCAACCTTTCTCAGGGGTCACCTGAGAACACTGGAAAACACAGATATTTACAATTTATGACAGTGTCAAAATAATGGTCGTGAAGTAACAATAAAATTAATTTTATAGTTGGGGGGGGTCCACAATGTGAGGAACTGTATTCAAGGGTCACAGCATTAGGAAGGAGGAGAAACCACTGATCTAGAACATATGACCCACAGTTAGTGAGCATATGTGTCAATGGTACACATGGGCACAGGGGTACTTAAGTAAGAAAGAAAATGAGGCCTCTCAGGGGCTTCCTACATCTGTCAACTTTTCAGGCCTCTCAATTCTGGGACAGAGAAAACCAGGCTGGAAGTCACTTGGTTTATACATTAAAAAATTAGAATTCTGAAGCTCAAAATTATAATGACTTCTATTGAGAAGAGAAACTGGACAGAAGACAAACCCCACTCTGAACACACATTTCTGGGGTTGAAACTTTTCTGCGCATCTTTCCTGCAGGTTGGCCTGCCCTCTGCTGGCAGGTTGTAACACTGCAGGCTCAGAGTAAAAGCATTCTGGAATTTTCACTGGAAAGGATAATGTTTCTGAAGTGAAACCAGAGAGACTGGCACCCACTGCTGGCGATATCACCACGGGCTGGGTGGCCACCCTTCAACAATGGCCAAACCACCATGGCTTAAATGAGAAGCAAGCAAAGGGCTAATGGAAGATCAGCACTTAGCTTGAATTCTAATGCAGCCTGTGTTCTGTATTTTTGTTTCGTTTTAATTTAAACAAGAAGCAGGTGGTTGAAGAGATGGCTCAGCAGTTAAGAGAGCTGGTGGCTATTCCAGAGGACCAAAGATTAATTTCCAGTACCCACAAGAAGCTAACAACTGTGTAACTCTAGTTCCAGGGGAATGACACCCTCTTCTGGCCTCTGGCCTTCCAGGGCACTGCACACATACAGTGCACAGACAATACCCCATATAAAAGGGAAAAAACAAACAAACAAAACAAAAAACAAGTTATCCTCTGACTTGTATATGAGTGTTTGTGTGTGCATGTACACACACACACATACACACACACACACACACACACACACACACACACACACACGCGTGCAATGTAAGGTTTTGGGGTTTGGGGGGTTTTGTTGGTTTGTTGCTTTCAAAACAGGGTTTCTCTGTGTAGCCTTGGCTGTTGTGGAACTCCATAGACCAGGTTGGCCTCAAATATACAGAGATCTGCCTATATCTGCCTCCCAAGTGTTGCCATTAAAGATGTGCGCCACCACTGCCCAGCCCACAATGTAAGTTTTAAAAGAGCAATTTTAAAAAACCTCCATAAAATTGACAGTATAGAAAGCTAACACTTTGTGAGACAATCATGCTAACTATGTTGGTCTTAAACTTGCAACCCTCTTACCTCAGTCTCCTGTACGCTGGCTAGGATGACAGCTGTGTGCCACTACACTTAGCAAGGTAGATTTTAAACTTTTGTTTTTATTATTTATTTACTCGTGGGGGGTGCTTGGGGAGTTAGTTCTCTCCTTCCATTATGTGGGTTCCAGGGATTGAACTCATGTCATTAGGCTTAGCAACAAGCACCTTCACCCACTGAGCCATCTAGCCAGCCCCAAGTTATTTTTTACAAAGTATTTCTCCACTGGATTGAAGTTATGTTCTGCAATGATTACAATCCAGGAGCAATGTGCTTGGTATCATTCACTGTAACTCCTTGTAGGTCTGTGACACAGAATAGTGGAGAGTGACTAATAAAATCATAGCCAAATACCTGATAAAATTAAATGAAAATATTAATCTTGTCTTAGCTCGTTTTTCTCACTCATGTATGCTCACTCTGTAACATATTTCTTATTTTTCTCAAATCTGAATATGCTAGTTAAAGTGGAATAACAGTCCTTCATAATTCCTAACTACTAAAATTAGTAAGAAGAATAATGCATAGTGTCTACTTTCTTGTGTGTGTGGGGTGTTTGTTTTGGTTTTTTATGTTTGAGACAGGAACTCACTATGTAGCCCTGGCTGGCCTAGAACTTGAAACGTAGGATAAGCTAGCCTCAGACTTAAAGAGATTCACCTGCTTCTGTCTTCTGTGTGCTGGGCTTTTTTTTTTTTTTTTTAAAGAAAGGGTATATAGCTCAGGCTTCTTCTCAAACTTTTGATCTTCTGCCTCAGCTTTCTAAGCACTAGAATTACAGGGTAGTGTCATCACCAACATCCATTTGTCTCCTTTTTTTTAAAAAAATAATTTGTTTAACTTTATTTTATGTGCATTGGTATAAAGGTGTTAGATCACCTAGAACTGGAGTTACAGACAGTTATAAACTGCCATGTGGGTGCTGGGAATTGAATCTGGGTCCTCTAGAATAATAGCCAGTGCTCTTAACCACTGTGCCAACCTCTCCAGCCCCCATCTGTCTACTTTTTAAGAGATTTAAAACAGTGGTTTTGTTTTTTTGCTACATCACTTTTCACTTGAGAAGCAATCTTTAGAAAAAAACCACAATTCAGTGCATCTGCAATGATACTGTCTTTAGAAAACAGTAAAGATCTTCATTATGTGTCATTAAAATATCATCGACACAGCTGGGGTAGGGGTATCACTCGCCTGTAGTCCAAGCACTCGGGAGGCAGAGGCAGGTGAATCTCAGTGAGTTCAAGGCCAGCCTGGTCTACAGAGTGAGTTCCAGAACAGTCAAGGCTACACAGAGTAACCCTGTCTCAGAAAACAAAAACAAACAAAAATCATAAACTCTCGACAACATTATCAGTTCCTTGCACATTAGCATGTATATTTACAGGTATAAATACAATACTAAAGAGACAGTAACTAGCATCACTGGCTAGAAACATCAGGGGTGATGTTTGCACATTTCTTTAAAAAGACTTTTCTTTTTAATTATGTGTATATATGTATGCCTGTGTGTGGGTGCATGCACATGAGTGCAGTTGTCACTGGAGCCCAGAGGCCTCAGATCTCCCTGGAGCTGGAGTGATGGGTGACCAGTGTGAGTCAGGAACTGAATGTAGTTCTCTGCAAGAGCATATGGGCTCTTCATCACTGAGCCATCTTTCTAGCCTTTGGTCACTCTTCTGATTTTTCTATTAACTCATGGAGAAAGGACAGAAGGAAAAGAGCAAGAGAGAAAGGAAAGGAAGGGGAAAGGAAGGAGCTGCCTTGGCATTAGCCCTCTCCTCCCCCCCATGCCAAGTGAGACTCCTCAGCACGCTGTGACCCACGAACTCGCAATCACCTCTGTAATTCCGGAACCGTTTCTACGTTATGTGCGTACACATCTAATCCTGATAGAGCAACCTTTTCTACTGCTCTCAGATCTCCTCGGAAGTCAGGGGTGAGGCATTCCACAAGGATTTTTGGATTCCTAGAAGGAAAAAAGATCAGCACTGAACTTTAGAACTGACATGACTGTTGCCTCAACAGCCAGTCACACTGACCCAGGGAGCGCTTATCAGCCCCGGAAACCTTGCTAAGGAAGGCTGGGAAAGAGAACAGTCCTATGTGAGTAGCTGTATGAAAACCGGAGGAACAGCCCAGCCATCTTGGCAGCTGCTCTTGGTTGGGGGCTGTGCCACACCTGAGGCAGGAAGATGGTGGCCGCAAAGACGATGAAAAAGTCCCTGGAGTTCATCAACTCCAGGCTCTAGCTTGTTATGAAAAGTGGGAAGTACGTGCTGGGCTACTAACAGACGCTCAAGATGATCAGGCAGGGCAAAGCAAAGTTGGTTATCTTCGCCAACAACTGCCTGGCTTTGAGGAAATCTGAAATAGAATACTATACCATATTGGCTAAAACTGGTGTCCATTACTACAGTGGCAATAACATTGAATTGGGCACAGCATGTGGAAAATACTACAGAGTATGAACACTGGCTATCATTGCCCCAGGTGACTGATATTATTAGAAGCGTGACCAGAACAGACTGGTGAGAAGTAGTAAACCAGAAAAGCCTTCCTTATAAAACCACCACAGCTCTTTTAAAAAACAAAAACCAAAACCCTAGGAACAGTAAACTATGTACACCATGACCAGAATGACTACCTGCAGAAGCAACCAGTAGACTCCAACTTAAACCTAATGGAATAGGTGATTAAAAAACTAAAATCATTTAAAGAAACCAAAATATAAGACATGAGTAGTAGTAGTAGTATTTTACTATTTGGAAAACAAAGTGAGGCATTTCTTCTGGGAATGCAAATGTCATCTGCTTCAACTTTGATTTTGTAATTAATCAAATACTACCCTCCCACATCTCCTCTAGGCAAATATCTCATCAGCTATGAGTGTTAAAAGCTGTTTCAAAGTTTGCTGAGTCATGAGTTTTTGTTTTTAAATAAGTACCAATCAAACACTAGTCTTCCTGTTTATACCGTGGCTGTGTCTAGCTAGTGAAGCCCTGTAATGTGAACTAGGTCACAGAGCTGTTTGCAAACCCTAAGGCAGCGTACAGATGTTCCTTGAGAAGGGATAGGGAAGACTGCACTCGTTCCCTTGTGAACAGAAGATGCTGAAAGATATTAGTTAGTGTGTAACTCTGAAACTGACTTTTTAAAAATTGCACCTGAGATCCATTAGTGGCTTGTGAAAGAAATTTTGTGAGCTGCAATATTGTTTGAACTGTTAACAAACAGAAAAACTGGGGAAATCAGTGGAAAAAACATTTGGTAGCACGACAGACATTACACCAGCACTGAATTCCAGAAATAATTTAGCTCCTTTTGTTTTTAGAGAGAGTCTCACCATGAAGCCCTGGCTAGCCTGGAGTTCATTATGTACACCAGGCTGGCCTCAAATTCATAGAGATCTCCCCATCTCTGCTCTTGAACACTGGGATTAATGGCATGCAACACCAATTGGTGAATTTTGCTCATTTTTAACCCCTTTGGAATGCATGGGATTAAGATATTTTTTGTAAAATGTAGATTATGAGAAAAAATTGGCAGAACTGTTATGAATGAAAACTGTATGAGATGTATTTTACAAGGTGCTTAACTCATCTTACTTAGGTTTTTTTTTATCTTTTTTTTTTTTTCTTCTCCGATACAGGGTTTCTCTGTATTATTTTTGGAGGCTATCGTGGAACTCTCTCTGTAGACCAGGGTGGCCTTTAACTTACAGAGATCCTCTGCCTCTGCCTCCTGAGTGCTGGGACTAAAGGCATGTACCACCAACGCCCAGCTGGTTTTTTCTTTTTAAAAATCTCTTTATTTTCACTTAATGTGTGTTTTGCCTGTGTGTTTGTATGTACGTGCACTGAGTATATATACGCCTAGTGCCCACAGGGGTCAGATGTGGTTGCTGGTCCCTTGTGGAGTCCGGATGCTTGTCAGCCACCATGTGAGCTGGGAACTGAGCTTGGGTCTTCTGCAAGAGCAGTAAATGTTCTTAAGGGAGGGAGGGGGCATCAAACCTAGGGCCTCGAGCATGCCAGGCAAGTATTCTACCACACAGCTGTATCCTCAACCACTACCCACTTTTTAAATGGTAACCTATTAAAACCTCAGTACTGGGCTGGTTGTGATGGCCCACCTTTAATCCCAGCATTTGGGAGGCAGAGGCAGGTGGTTCTCTGTGGCTTCAAAGCCAGCCTGGTCTTCAGGACAGTCAGGACTACATAGACTCTGTCTCAAAAAAAGATAAATAAAAAAGAGAAAAGAAATAGAAAAAAAAAAAAGACCTCAAAATAAATTCCCATGGGTCTGAAAGGCCCTTAAATTACATAACAAATATAAAACAAGTACCTTCCCTTCAAGCATGACACAGTCTTGGCAATGTGCTCAGCTCCCCCATCAGGCACATCTAGAAAGAAAAGAAGTTACTGTCCAATCCATTCCACAATTTGGCTACAGTCACAATGACACACTACTAACCATCTCGATCCACCGAAGTCAGGACAACATAATCCAGGCCCCACTCAGCAATTGCTTTGGCCGTATTGTAGGGCTCATTGGCATCCAAAGGAGGGGGATTTCTTGCGGTCTTAACAGAACAAAATCTGCAACCTCTTGTACAGGTGTCCCCCATCAACTAGAATAGAGACGTTACTATTTAAATCAGATGACCCTCAGGAATACAATGCCAAAAACAAATGGCAATGATCACCAACAAACAGAATGATTCTGTTTATAAGGAATCTGAAACATTCAGAATTAAATAATATATGGTTAAGGAATACAAATTTACATAGAAAATGAAAATGATACACTCAGTAGATGTTAAAGGAACTGGAGGGAGTACGGGATACTAATTTTAAACTTTATAATTTAAAGGGCCAGCGAGATGGCTCACTTGCCAAGCAAGCATGGTGACCTGAGTTCAAATCCCAGACCCCGTGTAAAGGTGGGAGAACAGACTCCACAAAGTTGTCCTTTGACTTCTATACCTCCACCTTCACCACCATCACCATAATAATAATAAATACAATTTCAAATTAAAGCCAAGTGTGGTGGTACATGCCTATAATACTACACTTGAGAAGTTGAGGTAGGAAGATCACGAGTTCAAGATCAGCCTGGGTTCCACAGTGAGACTCAGTTTCAGAATTTAAAATGGGAGATGGCTCAATGCTAAGAAGATCTGTTGTTCTTTCAGAAGACCCTAGTTCGGCTCCCAGCACCCACACTGAGAGAACCAATGGCTCTGCCCTCTACACGAACTGCACTCATGCATCCACACTGAGAGAACCAATGGCTCTGCCCTCTACACGAACTGCACTCATGTACACATACCCACACGGACACACACACAACTAAGAATAGCTGAGTATAAATAATGATTGATAGTATTCAGGCATCTGTACTGGCCTGGCCTTGGGGTTCTGACAGGATACAGCCTCAGCTACAGTTACTAAGAGCACCACCTGTATACATTCACTATGTTCCCTTTTAAAAGGGCCCTGCCCACCTCCCATCCTCCTCTCTTTCTTTCTCTCTGTCTGTTCTTCTCTCTCTCCCCTTCTATCCTCTCTCCTTTCACCTGCTGTTCTGAAACAATTAAACAAATTAATAATAAAATAAAATAGTGGGATCCTAATGTAGAGTCTGCGAAGAGGCTAAAGTTATACTCTCTGAGTACCAGGATGTCTGTTGTATTATCTTTTTGTTTTTGTTTTTGTTTTTTTGAGACAGGGTTTCTCTATGGCTTTGGAGGGTTATTCTTTTTTTTTTTTTTTTTTTTTTTTTTTTCCTCAAGACAGGGTTTCTCTGTGTAGACCAGGCTGGCCTCAAACTCACAGAGCCCCACCTGCCTCTGCCTCCTGAGTGATGGGATTAAAGGCGTGCACCACCACCGCCTGGCTGTTGTTTATACTTTACAACTTACTCATAGCTTCTAAAAATTACTCACTACTGAATATCAACAAGTATGATTTAAAAACACATTCTTTTTAAATAACATTTTTAATTTATTTTGTGTGAATGGGTATGTGTGTGTGTGGAAACACAACGACGTCAGAGAACAACTTGTAGGAGTTGTTTTTTTTCTATCCACTATGTGGGTTGAACTCAGGTCACCAGGCTTGACAGGAGGTGACTGTGCCCACTGAGCCACCTTGCTGGGCCCACAGATATATTCAGGGGGAAGACAAATGTACAGGTCTGAAATTGGACGAACAGCTCATTCTTGTTAAATAAATGAGACAGGAAAAAGTATACAACAATTAAATAATTATGAAGACTATTTTCAAACATTAATGCAACACATATTCTAAGGAACCAAATAGTTAATTATCAGATACATGGAAGAACCAATAATAGATTAATTCAGAGAATGGTAAAATCAGGACAGGTGACAAGATTTTTGTCACTGTCTTTCTTTGTAATTTTCATAAGTTCATTTGCAATAAAAATTTCACTGGGTGTTCACAGCACACATCTTTAGGAGGAGGACATAAAAATACTTGTTTCATGCCTCAACTAAAGTTGTTGAGACTGAGCTGGTCTTACCATGATTGTGGCTGTGGCTGTGGCATATTCTCCACCTCCCCAGCACTCCCCAATGTTGGGACAGCGGGCTTCCTCACAGACCTGTGGGAAAGGGAAAGGATGTAGCAGGTTGAAAAGACCTACCTACCAACAATGAAGTATTAGGTATTTTCAATTTTGTTTTTTTAAGATTATTCTTATTATAATTTGTATGTATATGAGTTTTGCAAGCATGTTATGTTCCTGCACCACACACATGCCTGGTGTCAAAAGAGTCCAGAAGAGAGTCACATCCCTGAAACTGGAGTTAGATGTTGTTGTGAGCTGCCATGTGGGTGCTAGGAATTGAATCTGGGTCCTCTGGAAGAGTAAGGAGTCTATGCTTTTAACCAGAGCCATCTCTCCAGTCCAGTGTTAGGTAGTTTAAACTTCCCATTGTTTCTAATGTATTTCAGAAGAAATATAATCACTTATTCTTTTGCAGGAAAAGGGGAGCTGAGGACTAAACTGCACTGGGTTATACTCTCAGTCCCTAAATGTGTATGTACATTTTTTTTTTTCTGTTTTTTTGAGACAGGGTTCCTCTGTGTAGCTCTGGCTGTCCTGGAACTTGCTCTGTAAAACCAGGCTGTCCTTGAACTCACAGAGACCCACCTGCCACTGCCTCCTGAGTGCTGACATTAAAGGCATGCCACACCACTGCCTGGCTCTATGCACATTATTATTGCTATAGCTAACACTTCACTTCTCATCTTTACCCACCTTCCTTGCTAATATTTACATATTCATTAATCATTTCTTTTTGCTGGTCTGGCACCATACATCTTATGATCCAAGCACCTAGGAAGCTAAGGCAGGAAAATCACAACTTTGAGACCAATCAGGCCTATATATTGAACAGCCTATGCTAAATAAACTGTATCTCAAAATCTTTTTGTTATAAATATGGAGAAACATCATAGCCTTGGGGTACATGGAGAGGAAATACAATGGCTACTTACTGTGTGGAGATTTAAATTCCGCAATGTAGTTTTCAGTTTATTATAATTTTTACCCATGGGTATCTCTGTCTTTAACCATGGAGGCAGTCTTAACCTAGGGACAGACCAAAATAACGACCATTACCAATCTTTGGAAGACAGGTAGCTTAGCTCTAGCAGTTTCCCAGTACAGCCTTCATATTTCGGGACTAACTCAATTCCATCACAATAAGAACAAAGACTTAAACTCAGGCCTGCTCAAGCTGCTTTAGGAAATACTGATGATAGAGTCAAAGGGAGTGCTATGCTTAAAGGTGCATTGCTATAGTATTCTAACTAGAGGACGGATATGTCTTTGAGCCTGTCCTTGTGTATGAATGCGACTGTACCAGGCTTTGTCTTCTGGGCCACCAACTAGCTCCCAAATCATGACATGAAGACTTACTATTAGTTATGAATGCCTGGCCTTATCTTAGCTCTTATTTTAATCTGTTTCTCTTTATCTATGTTTTGCCTTGGGGATTTTTACCTTTCTTTCCTTCTGTATATCTTACTTTCAATGCTTTTCGACAAAATGGGAGGTCGAAGTATAAAATGGTCAGGTTGTTTCTGGAAGGATGAAGAAAAATGGCCAAAGGGTACAGAAAAAGTAAAATGATTCTAACAGCTTTGCTAAATTACTCTATTTAGATTGGTTGCCACTTCTAGTAACTTTGGATAATTTTTTTTCCCCCCGCACAGGTCCAAATTCAGTTTATTTCAATATACTTCAGAGAGCTATGATGAAGCCATGGAGCACATTGTTTCTATCAATTACATTTAAAAAAAATTTTTTATTAGTTCAAATTAGGAATAAGCTTGTTTCACATGTCAATCTCTTCAACTTTGGATAAATTTAACATGTCTGAAATTTAAAATCTACTATAGGGCTTGATTAAAAACAGTGCACAAGGTGGGCGGTGGTGGCGCACGCCTTTAATCCCAGCACTCGGGAGGCAGAGGCAGGCGGATCTCTGTGAGTTCGAGGCCAGCCTGGTCTCCAGCGCTAGTGCCAGGACAGCCTCCAAAGCCACAGAGAAACCCTGTCTCGAAAAAACAAAACAAACAAAAAAACAGTGCACAAAATCAAAGGGTGGGATACTGAAATGATCGCTGATATTCAATTACCTTTCTCCTTTCTGACGCTTTAAATTTCCTTTATATTCATCCCAGGTACTCTTATCCGCAAGATCACCAGATACAAAATCTTGAAGGTCTGGTCCAGTCTGTAAAAATTCCTTTTTTTTATCGGGCAAAAAACTTAATGCTCTAACTGGGCTGCATAAATATCTTCCAAATACCTACAGGAAAGGTTCATTACAACAATTATTCAGTAAGCTCTCGAGTAATTTAGTTTTAGCCCATTATAATATCAAAGAACTGATTCACAAGTTATGTGAAAGCATTTTAAGAGTTGAAAACTACTTAGATTAGAATCGTAAAAAAGATTCAAGGTGAAAGAACCTCTAACTATGCTGGCTCAATCCTGTAATCCAGCACTCACAGGGGGCAGAGGGAGAATTGTCTGGTCTACGAATTTAATTTCAGGCCATCTACAGACATCCCCTACCCCAACGAAAGGGAGGTGGGGGAGTATGAGAGTAAGGGTTAACTGCTAAATGTAGATTAGAAAGCCTTAGCAACTAACTTAATGTGTCACGTTTGTTTGTTTTTTTGAGACTGGATGTCTTTTGTGTAGCCCTGGCTGTCAAGGAATTCACTCTGTAGACCAGGCTGGCCTTGAACTCACAGAGATCCTCCTGCCTCTGCCTCCCCAGGGATGGGATTAAAGGCATGCGCCACCACCGCCCCGCAAGTCTTCTATTCCTAAAACAGGCACTAAAAATACATTGTCAACAACTTTAAACTGCAATAATTAAGATATACCACGGCTGTGAATGTTTTATTCCTGACGAGTCAGGGAGTTTTTAAAAAAGGATATCTGGAAAGATTTGCCTAGTTTTGGACTTGTGATAAGCAACAGCGCTCCTGCGGCTCACCCGGGCCCCCAGGCTGCGGGCCGCATCCACGCAGCGTAGAGACATCCCCTCTTAGGCTTTAGGGGGTCAAGGGCTCCAGGGACCCGCACGCCGGAACAAGCCGCGTCTGAGAACCCGTCGCTTTGCTGATGACGTACACCGTCACCGCTGAACCGGCACGAATCCACCTGTTTGGCGATGGACTAGTTTAGCCTTATCGTCGCGCGCTCATGACGCAACACGCAGGGCCCCTGACGGAATACAAGAACGTGATGACGAAGGACGTTCTCTCTTTGCCCCATCTACTGCGAGGTGAGCAGCTTACGGGCTATGAGCCCCGGGAATCTGAAGCCATCCTTTCTTGGGGACACCGGTGGCATGGGCCCGTTGTCCCGAGTACTTGTCTCAACCGTCCCCGAGCACGACAGGCGTCCCTTGGGTTTGGCGGCGCGAGCTGGAAGTCGCGTTCTGGGCTTACAGGCCTACCCCGGCCGCAGCCCTACCGCCATGGTGCACCGGGCCGGGCTTGCTAACATCCTTCCGGCCCGCGGGACCCCGGGCCACCCTTTGTCACGAAACTATTTGTGTTTTTCTCCCCGGTTTTTCTTCCCGGCGGTTTCCGGTTGAGGTGGAACTCTGTCCCGCATCTGGTGTGGGGCGTTCTCTGCTCCAGCCTCTTACCTGGGTGTTTGTGTTTCAGAATGAAGACCATTCTCAGCAATCAGACCGTCGACATTCCAGAAAATGGTAGGAGGCTTCGTGCTTTGTCTTGACGTCTTTCTTGCATGCTCATAGCCCTGGCCGGTGGCCTCACGGGTTCGTTTTCTCTTCTAGTGGACATCACTCTGAAGGGGCGCACAGTCATTGTGAAGGGCCCTAGAGGAATCCTCCGAAGGGACTTCAATCACATCAATGTAGAGCTGAGTCTCCTCGGGAAGAAGAAGAAGAGGGTAAGGACTCCATTTCTTTGTGGCTTCCGAAATGTTTGTTCGAAAAGTAGTAGTTCATTGTAACAGCATGAGGTTTGGTTCCTTGGGACCGGTGTGGTGCACTGCAAACTCGGGGCCACCCTAGTGAGTTCCAGGTCTGATGTGTAAAATCAAATCTAATACTGCAAAGCCCAGTTTTGATCTAGTGTTACCCCCCCAAAGAAAATATTATGACTTAAGTAGTTGTTCTTGGGTGAACCTTGTGTTCTGCTCGATTGTGGTGGGTTCATTCCTTTATGAAACCCTGTGCCTGTGATACACAGTGTTTTGGTCATTTGTAGATGGCTTTGAATGCTCTGGTGGTAACCAGCTAAAAACTATGTTAATTCTGGGGTCTCATTCTATTACAGCTCCGGGTAGACAAATGGTGGGGTAACAGAAAAGAACTGGCCACTGTCCGGACCATCTGCAGTCATGTTCAGAACATGATCAAGGGAGTCACACTGGTAAGACAGCCAGTCAGGCTGCTTTTTAGCCCTTTGGAAGCGGTTTCTTGAGTGTATCTTGTATGTGCAAACGTCTAGTACCCGGCAGTTTTGTTGTTTTTTTTTTTATTTGTGGGAAAGGAACATACCACTGATCGAGCCTAGGAATTTGCTCTCAAACCATGCTTTGAGAATATTTTTTCTTAATAAATATAATCTGCTGTAGTATAAATTTGATTGTTGATTGGTATGGATAGAAAAGGTCTGATCTCTAAATGTCTGATGTCATCAGTTGGGCATCCTTTTTGATAAGTTAATTCTGAAGTGGTTTTTACCCTGTGCATTAAAAAGTTATGTAACTTTTGGCTCACCCTTCCTGTTGCTCCCATGGTTTCTTTTTATTTTGCTTGGTGATGAGAAGTTTATGGTCGGGTGTGCCTGGTAGCTCAGTAAATCTAGTGCCAAGGATGAGGGTCTTGGGCTCACTGAAAGAAGCAAGCCAGGCTAAGACAGTAAAACAAGCAAATGCTTCCTCCAGGGTTGTTACTGCCTAAAAAGGCAGTTGTTTCTTTGAAGTGAATATTAGCTGTGTGAGACTTGTTGCAGGTCACGGGGGTGAGGGGGGGGCAGGTACGGTGTGCTGAGATCAGGCTCTGGTGGCAAACAACTGTTATCCTAGGGTCCACTGAAGGAGTCTCAGATTGTGGGCCAGCCTGAACTGAAAATGTTTTGAGATTGTTCAATATTTATTTCCTGCAGGGCTTCCGCTACAAGATGAGGTCTGTGTATGCTCACTTCCCCATCAACGTTGTTATTCAGGAGAACGGGTCTTTGGTTGAAATCCGAAATTTCTTGGGTGAAAAATACATCCGCAGGGTTCGGATGAGAACAGGTATGTGTGTTACTTTCAGGAATGATTGGCTGCTACAGTTCATTTTCCTGGAGTCTTAGAGTACTGGTGTTTATGGTGAAGGTTATTTCAGAACTGTGTTTTGGTAATTCCGCTAGCTTGAGATTGATGCCATTTTGTGTGTGTGCTGGGAATTGAATCTATCAGATCTGTAATCACATACAGTATGTTCAGAAGTCCAGCCCTAAAGTTGATGGGTTGTGTGGAGTTTTAAATGAAATTGTATTTTTGTACAGATCTCATGTTAATGCTATTGAATACACACCCTTTTCAGGTGTTGCTTGTTCTGTTTCTCAAGCCCAAAAGGATGAATTAATCCTTGAAGGAAATGATATTGAACTTGTTTCAAATTCAGGTATGTATGCATGTCTTGATTCTGAGAGGTCAAACATTGTTCCAAATTTGTGCTGTATATACTATACTTTGTATCATGAATACACGTTGGAGTATATGCAGTTCTAAGTGATGGGTAGCATGTGGCTGGCTTTGTTGGGAACTGTTTTTGTGTTTATATTAGGGTATGTATGTAGCTGTGCTCAGTTGAGAACTAAGGGCAGTGAAGGGGTCTCCTTACATCCTGTAGGCTCCAGGGATTGGGCTCCAGATGTTAGTTAAGCTTGTGGACGTGTTTGGCTAGTGAAATAATGGCTTTATTTGCTTCTTCCTATATAGCGGCTCTGATTCAGCAAGCCACAACAGTTAAAAACAAAGATATCAGGAAGTTTTTGGATGGTATCTATGTGTCTGAAAAGGGAACAGTGCAGCAGGCTGATGAGTAAGACCTAAGGTAGGTTCGTGTATCTGCAGTTGACTACTTTAGATGGCGTTTGTTATACTAAAAATTATTAAATCAGTACTTGCCTGTATAGTGTATCATAGGTGAATTTGTTTTACTCTATATAATTACAATATAGGTGAACTTAACTTTCTGGGCAGGAATATTAATAAAAGTTTACATGTATTTTGTTTTTACAGTTAACCAGTTCCAGAAACAAGATCCTGAATTAAGTACGATTTGGGGTGTCTTTTGGGACAATAAAGACTTGTATTGATTTGGTGTGTCTTTTCTGATTGATTACTTAGCAGATAGGTCAACTGCTACTCCAAGGAGCACAACAGGTTTTTTTCCTTCCTGTAAACAAGTGACTTAAAAGAATAACAAGACATTTCAAGAACAGGAGTGTAGTACCAATGACAGGCAATCGTCCCCGTGCGGGTTCAATTGGTGTGGTACTTTGGGATGAACCTAGAGGTGTTGTGACTTTGGCACAGTCATCATAATGACTGTTTGGTGTGCAGATTGTCTCAGTGGGGACTAAAAAATGTAAATGTAAAATCATGGTCATTCTGTTCTCAATATTATCATGGTTGTAGTTCTACCTCTGAAGAGGTTGATGTGGGGGGGATCGGGTTGGGGCTCAGTAGATTATGAATGAAACAATGAACTTGGGGTTACTTTGGAACACTGGGGGTGGTAGGGTTGCAGGCTTTGAATATAATGTTCTAGACTTAATAGTAATCTGTATTTTGTGTGAATTCCCTATCCGCCTGGTGGTGAAGAGTGAACCCAGCAAACACTGAGGATTGTCCCCAGACCTTTAGTTTCTTTGACAAGTTTGCTCTATTACGGCTTCAAACTCATAATCCTCATTCCTCCACCTATTGGGTGCTAGCATGGCAGGCAAGTACCAACACAGCTAGTTTTTTATTCTTCATGTGTGCACATGTACGTGCAATTGCTGTCTTTGTCTATTACCTTTTCACTTTGTGTTTAAGGTAGTGTTTGTCTTCCCCAGTGCTAGGGTACAGGTAATGCCCAATTGAACTATGCTTGTGTGTGAGAGAGAGAATATATTCATTCATGTTTCCAGAGGTGTCAGTTCCCCTGGAGCTACATTATTCTGTAGGCCCTAGTCAGTGTTTTGAGATAGGGAACTCTTGGCTGTGGTTGTCTCAAACTCAGAGATCACTTTAATCCCAAGTGTTGGGATTAAAGGTGTGCAGCATCATGTCTAACTATCACAAAGGCCAGGTTATAGCTCAGCTGGCTAAGTGTTTTCCCCCTATTGAAGCCCCTGCATATATATATATATATGTGGTGTGTGCCGGTCTGTGATCCTAACCTTACAGGGGTGGAAACAGGCTAAGAGCTTCAAAACCAGTTTCAGCTACTTATGAACTAACTATTCACCTCCAGCCAGATTGTTGAATATAAATGATTGGCATCAACCACATTGGTATAGCACTGAAGGGTAAAACATTTAGGCACGGTACTCTCCTCATTTCCCAGACAAACACCAGTTAAGACAATGAATTTGTAAAATGATACATCGTTTTTTGCAGCTACTCCATTGGGTTAAGAATGTTCTCAGTATTAGCGTTGCTAGGCAAGTACAAAGTCCCACTGAGCCATATCCCTAACCTGTGTTTGGAGACTTAAATTTAGTATCACTAGAACGTGACCTAATTTTTATATGATCATTTAAAATGGGTGACTGCACACATAATCCCATGACCCTCAAGTGTGGCAGCATTAGGCTACGAACTATACATTTGGTGAACTTGGCAAGTTTGGGAAGGAGGAAGGAAGGAAATGTTTTATTTGGGTGTGTGGTGGTACATCCCTGTGACTTGTGCAGTGGAGTTGAGGCAGGAGGATGAAGACTCTTGGAGGTTATCCTGAGGTAATGTTTAAGGTCAGCTTGGACAGCATGAGACCTGTCAAAAAACAGTAGTGATGTTAACGGAGTTGGAAACCATGCTGAGGCAGGAGGATCACTGCCAGTTTGAGGCCAACTTAAATATAATGAAACCCAGTCAAACAAAAAACCTTAAGTGTTATTGAATTGAGGGTTGGTTCCAAGTTCTTTGTTTCTCCTATTGCTTGCATATTTTTTGAGGTTACAGTTAAGACAGGGTTTCTCTGAAATCTCCCCAGCTGTCCTGGAAACTACTTTGTAGACCAGGGTGGCCTCAAATGGTGATCCAACTGCCTCTGCCTCCTGAGTGCTGGGATTAAAAGTGTGTGCCACCAGTGTCCAGCTGTTACAAATTTTAGATGCAGGGAATGAGGTGATAAAAGTTAAAAAAAAAAAAAAAAACTTACCAAAGTTTTTCTGGAGTGAATTCAAACTTGTGTGACTTAAACCCAAGTAGGGCTGTAGAGAAATCTCAGTTAAGAGCACTGTGGCTCTTACAGAGGAGTTGGGTTATTCCCAGCACATATATGGGGCTCATAACCATTTTAACTCCAGTTGTATGAGATCTAGTGTATTCTGATTTCCAAAGATACCAGGTGCACATCCATACATGTATGCAGGCAAAATACTCAATTCTAGAAGTGTTTTACTTTTTTTTTTTTTTTTTAGTGATACATAGCTTTTCTATGTGGCTAACAATACAATTGTCCAGCCAACTACAATGGGTGTCATTAAGCATAGTTCTCAAAGAGATTCTTTGCAAAACCTACTTAAAAACTACTAAGTGGACAGGCAGGGGAAGTTCAAGGTCAGACTGGTCTGTATAGTGAACTCCAGGCCAGCCAGGGCTATGCAGTGAGACCCTGTCTCAAAAAAACCCGGTCTTAAGAACTAAATTTTTGATAGACAACTCTGTTTATAAGCATTTGCTGTTCTTACAGAGGACCCAGGTTTGGCTTCCATCACCCATATGTTGGTTCATATCCATCTCTGATGCCTCTTCTGGCTTCCAAGGACACCAGGCAAACAAGTGGTGCATACATGCATGCAGGCAAAACATCCGTACACAAGAAACCTAAGACAGGCAGGGTGGTGGTTGTGGGAACCAGAAGCAGAAAAGCAGAAATCTGTTATTTAACTAGTCCAATAGCAGTTTTATTTCTCATGGCTTTTGCACGTGCTGTCTCTATGATTTTTGAAAATTAGTGATTATAAGAATCATAATTTTGGGGGTTGGAGAGATGGCTCAGAGGTTAAGAGCACTGATTGCTCTTCTATAGGTTCAATTCCCAGCAACCACATGGTAGCTCACAACCATCCGTTATGAGATCTGGTGCCCTCTTCTGGTGTGCAGATATACATGGAAGCACAATGTTACATAATAAATAAAAAAAAAGAATCATAATTTTGCTTTGGGAGGTAGTGGCACACACCTTTAAACCCAGCACTTTTAGGAGGCAGAGGCAGGTGGGTCTCTTGAGTTTGAGGCCAGCCTGGTCTACAGAGTGAGTTCCAGGACAGTCAGGGACAAATAACAATAGGTAGATCTGATGTACAATTAAAAATCACGGTACATTTTAGGATGGCTTATTACTAAGGCTCTTTGTGAAAGAGCTACTTTTCTTTGAATCCCAAGCATAAATTCTGGAGAGGGTTTGCAGTTACTGGGTAACGTGGCTATTTACATGTTTACTTGAAAGAATGGATGTGAATGGGTACACATTCAAGTTATCCCTAGTGTTTGTGATCAAATCAAGCATGGTTTCTTAAATATAAAATATCCAAATTGAAATTTACTTAGTGCTAGCCTTAAAAAGCAAAATTAAATTAGGTCATTCAAATTGACATGCTGGATTCATCAGAATCATGGTGCATGAGACACCATGATTAGGAAGCTCTAGGGAACAAAGCAGGAATCTATGAATAATGGTAAAGTCTTTGACCTTTACCTATTGTAAAATCTACATCTTTTTAACTTTCCTGAGTGTGACAGATCTTCTCACCTTGAAATCAGGGGAATAGATGTGATGCCAGTTTATTTTAAAATGGAAATCGCCGTGCTGTAAGGGTTAATGGACCTGATCTTGACAAGACACTTGGGTCTAGTTGTCCATCCTGTGATCATTCCATGACATGAGTTATGAAAGCTACTTTTAAAATCAGAAGTCCAAGCTGGGTGTGGCGGGCACTTCCCTCCTTTAGTCCCAGCACTCAAGAGGCAGATGGATCTAAAGTTCAAGGGCATCCTTGTCTACAGAGTGAGTTCCAGGATTGTGAGAAATACACAGAAATACCCTGTCTTGAACCTTCCTCCTTCCCCACCAATCAGAAGTCCAGTAAGAGAGAGCTCACAAAATTGAATGTTTAGGAAATGCCTTGTAGCCAGGCGTTGGTGGCGCACGCCTTTAATCCCAGCACTTGGGAGGCAAAGGTAAGTGAATCTCTGTGAGTTTAAGGCCATGCTAGGCTCCAAAGCTACACAGAGAAACCCTGTCTTGAAAAACCAAAAAAAAAAAAAAAAAAAAAGAAAAAGAAAAAGAAAAAAAAAGAAACGCCTTGTGTTTTGTTGAGAAAAGCTAGGATTAGTGTGTTTTAGATCCTGTGTTTTTAACTGCCTATGGACAAGCATGATCTAAAGTCTTGTTATATATTTTACATTCCTAATGACCTCCTGACCTAAACAGAAGAGCACCTTGTTAGAAGTGACAGCATATGTGACTACTGTCCAGTTTAAAGGATAGTTTTAGCTGGGTGTGGTGGTGTACACATTAATCCCAGTACTCAGAAGGCTGAAGCAGGTGGGATCTTAGAGTTCCAGGACAGCCAGAGTGACATAATAGACCCTGTCTCAAAAATAACAACAACAAAATAGTTTTAAACTATGAAATCTAAACCAACAGAATTTCACTTTTAAAGATGAATTCCTTTACTACGAATTGCTATTTACAGAAGAGAGCTAGAGTAAAATGACGTGAAACAGCACTTCACACTTCCTGAAGCCATGTCCCCAGAATTACTGACAGGATGAAGCCTTCAGCTCTAAGAACTGAATTAATTCACTGATTGTCAATACCTAAGGGAATGATTTGAACCACTGCAAAGGCATTGATTGTCATCGCCTTGGTTGCAGATGTCTCTCACATTATAAGTTACCAGTATATGGAACTGGAGTGAATGTTTAAACTATGACATAAATGATAGTTTAGCTAAGAACTCTACTGTGGCCTTCCTTCAATGGTATATTTTCTAAGTTCTTTGATTTATGAAATCTTCTCTTTCGATGATGAAAAATGGTGATTGACAGCAGTACAGCCAGAGTGGAGATGAAGCAACAACCAAAGAAGATCAGAGATTTCTTCTGAGTGAAAAATGAGCAGATGGTGCAGTCTGTGTCTTCTGGAGGCTGACCACATGCGGGATTGCTAGTCTCAGAGGGGAAGCCACTTCTGCTGATCAACTTGCTATAAAACTCTACAGATGACTTAGCTTTGAAGTCAGATGTGAAAAATCCAAATCTAGGCTTAGATTTCTCTTCAGTCAGTTTGAATGCATAATAGCCTTTGATTTTGACTTTGTCAATGAGGTATGCTAAGAAAAAAAAAACAGAAAAGAACATCGGTGATCACAAATGGACAGGAAACTATCTTTGAATAAGAATTTAGTTTTTGCCAGGCAGTGTCACACGCCTTTATTCCCAGCACTCTGGAAGCAGAGGCAGGTGGGTCTCTGTGAATTCAAGGCCAGCCTGGTCTACAGAGCAAGTTCCAGGATAGCCCCCAAAGCTACAGAGAAACTATTTCAAAAAAAAAAAAAAAAGAATTTATCTTTCAGAGCTAATTGTGCTTTTCTTGGGAAGTGAGATTTCAGGTGTTATTTAGGAAAAAATGTTTTCCAAGTTTTCTGTAATGAGTTTATGCCACTTTATAAAAGTTCAGATGTGGTGGTTTAGGCTTGTAATCCTACCACTTGGAAGGCTGAGGCAGAAAGATAGGGATCAGCCTAGTGTTGGAGGCCATCCTGGGTGATTAGATAGACCCTGTCTAAAAAAACAACAAAAAACACATTAATGAATACCGGGAGATAGTGGCGCATGCCTTTAATTGGAGCACTCAGTAGGTAGAAGCAGGTGAATCTCTTGAGTTCAAGGCCAGCCTGATCTACATAGTGGGTTCAAAGACTCAGGACTAAAGAGACTCTGTCTCTCAAAAAAACATAGTTTTTTTGTTTTTTTTTTTTGTTTTTTGTTTTCATAAGGAGGAGATCCAACGGATAGGAGGCGGTCAGGAGCCACAGATCTGAGTTGCCGGTGAGAACATAGTTTTTTGGTTTTTTTTGTTTTTTGTTTTCATAAGGAGGAAATCCAACGGATAGGAGGCGGTCAGGAGCCACAGATCTGAGTTGCCGGTGATCTTCGTGCCCAGCTTTTCATTGCTGTCAGTTCCATATACCTCCCCCACCTCACTGTGTGAGCTCCCCAAACCTCACCTTTCAGAGCCTCCTGGATGTACTTCTCCAAGTAGTACTTTCGGATCCCATCATTCTCCAGAGCCAGATCATCGATGCCATTGGCTGTGATGTAGATGTCCATGTCCCCATAGTTCCTCTGGATCCACCCAAGCAGCTTGCGTGCTCCCCAGGGCATAACAGCCAGGCGGCTGGGCGAGCTCAGGCGGGTGATGTCCTGCAGGAACTGGACGTCCCTGTCTGCCATAGAGCGGCTGCTGTTGAGCTGTTTGTGTATCACGAACCTAGTAGTGAAGTGGTTCAGTGCGTAGAAGTCGATGGTGCCCTTCACCAGCCTGCTCTCCTCTGGGGTGAAGCGCGGCAGGACTGAGCGGGACAGCCCTTGCTGGTTCTTGGAGGCGATGTACTCCTTCATGGCCAGTGGATAGTCGCCAGTCTTGAAGAGCGGATCAGCGAACCAGGCGATCTCAAACAGGAGGAAGCGCTCCGCTGCCTTCCAGTGTGAGTCCACATAGGGGTTGGCAGGTTCCACCCAGTCAGAATGTAGGGACAGCGACACAGCTCCATGCTGGACTGGCCTATACTGCCTGTCGTAGAGACGCCAGACCTGGGCATGGGCAATCATCAGGTTATGGGCTGCACGGTAGGTGTCATTACTCGTGCGGTTGTACATGTCACTCAGCCTATTAGGCTCATTGATGGTGATCCAGAGCTTCACCAAGTCCCCTAGTTCCTGGAAGCACAGTCCTGCGTAGTCCTGGAAGGCCTTGGCGGTGTAAGTGTTTAGCCATCCCCCACTGTTAAGAAGCGGCTCAGGGAGGCCTAGATGGGAGTGGGTGGGGTGGTACAACGTCACCATGGGAGAGACGCCCAGCTTCAGTCCTTCGCTCACCACACACCTATAGTACCTTAGTACTTGTCTATTAACTTCAGACAGATTGCCAGTGGGAAGGATGGTGGCCCAGTCCAGAGCAAACTGGTAGTGGGTGACTTTCATTTTGGCCAACATCTCAACTCGTTTTTTGATGCTAACATAGTCTGTGCAGTGGGATGGTTTTGTTTTTAGCCTTACTCCTTCTACTCGCTGTAGCAATCTGTTGCCAGTGGCATTCCACACATACAGGTGAGGGTCGGTAAACTGTGGGGAGGAAACCATAAACTCCGGCTGTGGGAAACAAGAGCATTCAGGTAAATCAAGTGTGGCTCCTAGCATATCCAAGCCCCTCAGATCAGAAGAATTGAGCCTCACGAAGCCTCTCACTACAAGATAAAAAACTTTGTCCTTCATAATGGGCTCTGTGTTCTGGCTGTTCTGTTAGCAATATGGGAGAAAGGGCCTTATCCTAGTCCTTGAAATCTCCAGGGAGACCAGGAAACACAGGGAAGGAAGCACACAGGGGAGAGGAAGAACAGCTGTTTGAGAAAAGCCTAAGAGGCTATTTTCCAGTTCATTTGACCTACAAATCCAGGTTATATGGCATCTTCTGTGACGGTGTTCAAATGCATCAGGAAATTGGCTTGGTGCCCTCAGTCAAAGGCAGTTATGAAAGATGGATTCTAAGTCCTGTCATAAGTTGATGTCAAAGGTAAAATTGAAGTTGTAAAGGAGTCGCTGAGAGCAGCACTTGCATTCAGAGGAGGCTGGTTAAGCCAGACCATTCCTGAAAGATGTGCTCTTGCTTGTGCTGGCCACAGCTCTCAGCAATTCTTGTTTGAAAAGTTCAGGTGATAGCCCACAGTGGTGGTCATGTCTATAATCCCAGTTCTCAAGTGGCTGAAGCAGGAGGATTACTACCAGTTGGAGACCAGCCTATATAGCAGAGACTACAAGATAAAATAAATAACTTTGTCTTTCATAATGGTTTCTGTGTTCTGGATATTCTGTTCATAATATGGGAGAAAGAGCCTTATCCTTCTAGCCCTTAAATTTTTTTTTAAGGAAGAAAGGTACAAGGATGTCCCATTTTCACACAGCACTCACTCAACAGCAGAGTATGGAACATTGCCCTATGCAAAGCACTTCAGTAATGAGGGGGGAAGACAATGAAATAACCTCAGATCTCCCTGCTTTTCCACCTGGAGAGTCATGAGTCATGGACTTTTCTGTCTTACTTTTCCTGTGTGTGTGTGTGTGTGTGTGTGTGTGTGTGTGTGTGTGTGTGTGTGTGTGTGGGTGCTCATACAGCCCAGGGCCAGCCTTAAACCTAGTAAGTACCAGCCAGGTGGTGGTGTTCCATGCCTTTAATCCAGCACTCGGGAGGCAGAGGCAGAGGCAGAGGCAGAGGCAGAGGCAGAGGAAGGTGGATCTCTGTGAGTTCGAGACAAGCTGGTCTACAAGAGCTAGTTCCAGGACAGCCTCCAAAAACCTAGTAAGTACCTGAGGATGACCTGGAGCTCCTACTTCTCTTTTCTCCACTTCCCAAGTGCTGGGCATACAGCCATATGCCACCACAGCTAGCCAATGTGATGCTACAGATCAAACCCAGAGACCTGTTCATGCTAGAGAGGCACTGTGACAACTTAGTTATACCCTCAGCCCGGAATTTTCCTCTTTGAGCTTGGGCTGCACAATCATATGGGGATGGTCCTGTGTCACCCACTTCCCAGGTGCACTGTGAGGTCTAGATAGATGCCCTGGGAAGGAGGAGTCTCAACTGGAAACCATCGTACAAAGATAAGGTGACTTGGGTTTAGTTCCAGGACAACCAGGGCTACACAAAGAAACCCTGCTCAAAAAACTAATAAAATAAAACAAAAGATGTAAGAAAAAAATTTCAAATTCAAGATTAATTAGAGCAAGGAAAAATTCTGTACTTGTGTTAAAGTACCTTCCCCCTGTGGCTGAATTTAAATAACCCAGGAAAATTGATAATTATGTGTTAAATTACCTTCCCCCTGTGGCTGAATTTAAATAACCCAGGAAAATTGATAATTAACCCTTGGCAAATATTTTCCTTCTAATTGTTTTCTCATGTGTCATCCTTCATAGTCTAATTACAAAGCCATATGATTGCCCACTTGCCATCTGCCAACCAGTTATCTAGAACATTAAACTGAGAGAGCTTTGGTCACGTGAGAGTGACATTCAATCTGTGTATAATGAATTACCTGAGCAGTCTTCCCAGACCAGGCCAGCTCCCATGTTCTGAAAAGTTCAGAACATCCCAGTATTGTTAAAGAGATGTTTATAAAAGGTCATCTTGCCACAAAACAAGGCAAGATCAAACAAAATGCATTGCACTTTACAGACCCCCAGGAAACGCTAGCTGTAGACAATGCATGTGGTTATCTGCTGAGAGACCACATAAAGATGATGCATGGAGAAGAGTGCCAGTAGGAGGGTAGGACATGTAATGTGGAGGCGAACATGACCAAAGTGCATTTTGTGTACATGTGAAGAGGTGATATTGAAACACATTAGTTCATATAATTAACATATGCCAATAAAAACCAGGGGATTCAGGCTAGGAAGATGGCTCAGTGGATGAAGCCTAGAAACCTGAGTTCAAGCCCTCGTACCCATATGAAGATAGAGGAAAAGCTGTAACTCCACAAATTTGTCCTCTAACCTCCACAGGCGCCACAATACGAACTGTGGTGGTTTGAAAGCAAATGATCCCCAAAAGGAGTAGCCCTATTAAGAGTGTGGCCTTGTTGGAGGAAGTGTGTCACTGTGAGGTCAGGCTTTGAGGTCTTTTTCTTTCTTTTCTTTTTTTCTTTTGGTTTTTCCAGACAGGGTTTCTCTGTGGCTTTGGAGGCTGTCCTGGTACTAGCTCTTATAGACCAGGCTGGTCTGGAACTCACAGAGATCTGCCTGCCTCTGCCTCCCAAGTGCTGGGATTAAAGGCATGTGCCACCACTGCCCAGCTTGAGGTCTTTTTCTCAAGCTTCACTCAATGTGACCTTCCTGTTGCCTGCAAGTTGTAGTACTTTCAGCTCCAGCACCAAGTTTGCCTGCATGCTGCCACGCTCCCTGTCATGATGATAATGAACTGAACCTCTGAAACTGTAAGTGAGCCCCTCAATTAAATGTTTTCTTTATAAGAGTTGCTGTGGTCATAGTGTCATAACAATGAAAACCTTAAGTAAGACATGCACCATATTACATATACAATTATATGTAATAAAGTTTTTAAAAATCGCAGCTCAGGGTTGGAGAGAGAGAGAGAGAGAGAGAAAGAGAGAGAGAGAGAGAGAGAGAACACTGACTAGTATTCTAGTATTTCAGAGCATCTACATGGATGTTCATAATTATCTGCATCTCCAGTCCTAGAAGATTCAGTGCCTCTTCTGGCCTCTATGGGTACCAGGCACACAGACATATATGCAAGCAAAACATCCAAACACATAACATTTGTGGAAACATACTGTACACCCTCTCCCCTAGCGTGTGGTTTATTTAGAAGTTGTCACTCACCTTAAGAACAGACTCGGTGACCCCCCAGGAGAAGTCACAGGGAAACTGACCCTGCATGTCTGGCGTGGACTCTTTCAAAGGGAAACCATTTTCTTGTATGATCTGTTTGTAGTAATGTGCCGAGGTCTTGGGTTTCCTTTCTTTCTGTTCACTATTAAAGTCCACATAAAACAGTCCTCGGCGAGACATATAGGCATACTGCCATTCAAAGCCATCCAGGAGAGACCAGGCCGTGTAACCAAACACTCGTATTTCATCAAACTGTATTGCTGCATGAAGAAAAGGTAGCAGGGATGTTCAGAGGGCTAAACATTATAGTTCATGTTTACAGCTACATTAACAATATGCCAAGGCGTGGCACATTACAAAAGGAGCACTTTCTCTAAATATCAGGCCTTTTAAATCAAACCAAAAAAATTGTTGGTTTGGGGCCAGAAAAATGGCTGTTAGTAAAGGTACCTGCTACAAAGCTTGACAACTTAAGTCGAAGCCCTGCATGGTGGGGGGAGAGAACTAAGTAAGTCCTGAAGGTTGTTCTCTGATTTCCACCTGCACCTCCCCACACAAAATAAACACTTCCCACACAAGTGAATGACAGGTAAAGAATCATATTAAAAACATTCCTGACAATTAAAATTTTTAACCATGTTGTTTAGCAGGATATAACGGTACATGCCTTTAATCTCAACACTCAAGAAGCAGAGGTGGGCAGATCTGTGAGTCCACGGTTAACTTGGTCTACATATTGAGTTACAGGTCACCCAGCTACATAGTAAGACCCTGTCTCATTTTTTTTTCTTGGTTTTTTCAAGACCGGGTTTCTCTGTGGCTTTGGAGGCTGTCCTAGAACTAGCTCTTGTAGACCAGGCTGGTCTCGAACTCACAGAGATCTGCCTGCCTCTGCCTCCCAAGTGCTGGGATTAAAGGCATGTGCCACCAACACCCGACCCCTGTCTCATATTTTTACAAAAAGGGGGTATGTTATTTTGTGTGCAAATCTGTGTCCTGGGGCATTGGGGCATGGTGGCTTCAGAGCCTTTGGGGATGTGGATGTTTACTAGTGACCTAGAGTTTCTCATTCCGAGTTTGGGCCGGTTCCTGCTTGTGCACAACTGTCCATTCTGTGAAATTGTCCTTCAGGAACTGAAATACCAGCTCTCAGGAAGAGCATAAGAGAATGTAGACAGGAGGCTTGGAAAGCAGAGTAGTAGTGTGAGAAGTGGTTGAGCTGAAGGGCAGCAGGTCCAAAGCCAGGTCCTGCTGTGTGGCCAGGAGGGAGCCATTGGGCAAGTTTTGGAACGGCAATTTCCTCATTTGCAAACAGAAAATAGTGGAAAAGATAAGGACCTTTGTAGCTTTAAAACTCTGAATGGGTAAAAATGAGATAAGGAGCCTTTAATTCCATCATGCAGGAGGCACAGGCAGGTGGATCTCTATGAGTTCAAGGCCAGCCTGGTCTATAAATAAAAACTGAAATTAGCCCCGAATCATTTTTATAATTTTTAAATTATTTTTGCTATATTTCACCTGTAGTAGTGTTTTTGCCTGCATAACTATCTGTTAGCTACCTATGTGTGTGTATCCCACGGATGCCAGAATAGGGCACCGAATCCTCTGGAATAGAGTTATACACAGTTGTGAGCTGCCATGTGGGTGCTGGGAATTGAACCCAGGATCCTTTGTAAGAGCAGCCTCTGAGCCATCTCCTCAACCCCCCTTCAATCATTTTTTCTAAAAACAAAACAAAACCACCCCCCCCAAATGAACCTTTCATTTATCACAGAAATGCCTCATTTCTGCATTCTGGGGCCTTATTGTTGACATTTTTTTCTAAAAGGTAGGAAATCCCTTTTTGAAAGAAAATAGAAAACCATGACAAATGATTCCAAAAAGACAAATGTATTTCAACAAGCCACAGCTCTGGCCCCATGGTGGTGTGGCGTTATTGAGGGAGGGTAGAATAGACACCCCTTCTGCCCAAGTGCATGGCACTTGAATCAGGGTGCCTGTAGGTAGTGTCCTATGAAGCCCGCCATGTTCATGTGGCCCCGGGCTGGGTGTGGCTGTGTTCCATGCTGTTCTTTCTTGCACAGTGGGGCAGTGAGACCAGGAGGAACTTGCTCTTTTTTATTCCTCCTCTTTTTTTTTTTTTTAAAAAAAGACTTGTTTATTTATTTTACATATATCAGTGTTCTATTTGCATGTACACCTTTATGCCAGAAGAGGGCATCAGATCCCACTATTGATGGTTGTGAGCCACCGTGGTTGCTGGGAATTGA